TAGAGAAAAGAAACAAATCACATACAAAGGAAAGCCCATCAGAATCACAGCAGACTTCTCAATGCAAACCCTCAAGGCAAGAAGAGCTCAGAGTGACATATTCCAAACCCTAAACGAAAACAGCCTCCAACCCAGACTGATGTAAGCTGAAAAACTATCTTTCAAAATTGATAGAGAAATAACATACTTTCATGACAAAGAGCACCTTAGGAACTTCATGAATACCAACCAGCACTCCAAAAAATTTTACATAATATCCTAGGAACAAACAATGAGGATTACAACCCCAGGAAGCACAGAAGAATGAATCCATCGGGCGTGACAAGAAATTAAATGTAAAGGGGAAGAATCCAACAAAAAGAAAGTCATGATAATGATGTCAATACATATAAGCTATAACCATAAATGTTAATGGTCTCAACTCACCAATCAAAAGAAATAGACTGGCAAAATGGGTCTAGAAGCAAGAGCCAACAAGATGCTGCTACAAGAAACACAATTAAAAAGGAAACTCATAGACTGAAAGTTAAAGGGTGGAAAACAATACTCCATGTGATGGAAACCCAAAACAAAAGCAGGAGTAGCTATCCTCTTTGCAGATCAAGTGGATTTCAAACCAACACTGATGAGGAGAGACAAAGAAGGACACTACATCCTTGTAAAGGGAACAATCCAACAGGGAGAGATGACAATCCTAAATATATATGCACCAAACACTCGTGCGCCCAACTATATAAAACAAATACTAACGGACATGAAAAGTTGTATATGCACTAATACAATAGTAGTGTGGGACCTCAATACCCCACTGTCACAAATAGATAGATCAACTAGACAAAAAATTAGTAATGAAATACTAGAACTCAATAGAACTCTTGAACAAATGAACTTAACAGATGTTTACAGAGTGTTCCACCCCGCAAAATCAGAATACACATTCTTTTCAGCTGCACAGGGGTTGTTCTCCAAAACAGACATCATACTCACTCACGGAACATGTTTAAGTAAATGCAAAGGAAATGAAGTTATCCCTTGTATATTATACCATAGTGTGATGAAACTGGAGATCAAAAACAAAATAAACCACAAGAATTTCACAAATACATGGAAATTGAACAGCACACTTCTGAAAAACCAATGGGTCACAGAGGAAATTAAAGAAGAAATCAGACAGTTCCTTCAATTAAATGACAATGACAATATAACATCGGAATCTATGGGACACAATGAAAGCAGTCTTACGAGGGAAATTCATAGCAGTGAATAATCATATTAGGAAAACAGAGTGAGGCCAATTAAACAATCTCATGCTGAACCTCAAGCTTCCAGAAAAAAAAGAGCAGGACAAACCCAAAGAGCATACAAGAGAGGAAATTTTAAAGATCAGAGAAGAAATCAATTCAATGGAGACAGAACAATACAAAAAAAAAAAAAATCAATGAAGCCAAGAGTTGGTTCTTCGAAAGAATCAACAAAATTGACAAACCCTTAGCCAACCTTATCAGAATAAGCAAAGAAAAGGCTCAAATCCATGCAATTGGGAATGAAAAGAAGAAATTACAATGGAGCCAGCAGAAATCCAGAGGATCATCAATACCTACTGCGAGAACCTATACATCAATAAGATGGAAAATGCAGAAGAAATGGACAGATTCCTAGATAAGTATGAATTACCAAAGTTGAACAAAGAAGACCTAAAAATTCTAAATGACCCAATATCAATCAATGAAACTGAAAAGTAATTAAAAACTTACCAACTAAGAAAAGCTCAGGTCCTGATGGCTTCGCTGCTTAATTCTACAAGACATTTAGAGAGGACCTACTGCCACTACCGTTTAAACTCTTCAATGAAATGGAAAGGCAAGGAATACTCCTGAATTCATTCCTAGAAGCAAGCATCGCCTTGATCCCCAAAGTAGATCCAAAAAAGACCCCAAAACAGAGAACTATAGGCCAATCTCATTAATGAACATAGATGCAAAAATCCATAAGATACTGGCAAGTAGAATGTAGAAGATCATCAAGAAGATCATACACCCTGGCTAAGTGAGATTCATCCCAGGGATGCAGGGATGGTTCAATATACACAAATCAATGTAATAAACTGTATCAATAGAGTCACGGATAAAAACCATATGATCATCTCAATAGATGCAGAAAAAAGGATTTGACAAAATCCAACATGCATTTATGATAAAAATCCTATAAAAAATTGGAATAGATGGTCTCTACCCCAATCTGATAAAAGTCATCTATGAAAAGCCAACAGCCAATATCATACTAAATGGTCAAAAAGTGCTTCACACTAAAATCAAGAACAAGACAAGGATGTCCACTATCACCACTCATGTTCAATACAGATTTGGAAACATAAGCCACGACAATTAGACAAGAGAAACAAATAAAAGAAATGAAGATAGGAAATGAAGAAGTCAAACTGTCATTATTTGCAGATGACATGATACTCTACATAGAAGACCCCAAGAACTCCACCAAAAGTCTTCTAGACTTAACAACCAAATTCAGTCAAGTAGCTGGTTACAAGGTCAACACACAAAAATCAATAGCTTTCCTCTACTCGATCAACAGACTCACTGAGAGAGAAATATGGGAAACAATTCCTTTCACAATAGCATCCAAAAAACTGAAATATTTAGGAATCAACCTAACGAAAGAAATCAAAGAACTCTTCTCTGAAAACTATAGCACTCTGAAAAGAGAGATTGAAGATAATATCAGAAAATGGAAAGACATCCCCTACTCCTGGGTAGGAAGGATCAACATAGTGAAAATGGCCATACTTCCATAAATGCTGTATAGATTCAATGCAATCCCAATTGAAATCCCAGCACCATACTTCACGGACTTTGAGAAAACAATCCAAAAATTCATTTGGAACAAGAAGAGACCCAGAGTAGCAAAAGCAATTCTAGGTAACAGAGACATGGCAGGGGGTATCACAATCCCCAACTTGAAACTATACTACAAAGCTA